GTGGAAGCTACCCCACCCACAGGCAGGGGTTAGTTAGAACCAAAAAGTACTCAGCTGTCATTGCCCACTTGAGGCAATCCCACAAGGCTTGAGGGAAATGGCTTCATATCCCTTCCACAAATCCAAAGCAGCTTGCTGTCGAGAAGAGAGAGGTCTTGTGGACAGATACTGTGTCTGAGTCTTTAACTGTGTCCTTAATTGATCTATCTTCCATGCTTCCAATTCTAAAAGATTTTCTCCAGACTTCTCATGGTGTTTCAGGAGCTGCCTCTTCCTTCACGGATTCTCCTCTGAGCTCCACACCCAGACAAAATGCCTGCTCTGGGCTTCCATACTCCTTCAGCTTCCCCATCATAACACTTGTCCCCTTTCATCCTTGGGGTACAGACCAGTTCTGTTTTAACATAGTCCCTGAGATACAATGAGTTCTCAGTGAGTTGTTTGTTCTTTTTTTAAACAAATAAAAGCAAATATTAAAACTCTAGGCTCTTGCATACCCCCTTAGCACAGGACTGGGCACCTAATGGGCATATCTGTAAACATATGATATGAAGGAAAACCACAACGGCTCCTGAGTTATCTCTGAGGAGGAGACTAGGGGCTCCTCTCAACAGAGCAATGACACAGACGTCAAATGTGATGATTGAGAGTCACTGGGGACACAGGTGTGAAGGAGTGTCCTGGGTTAGGTGCCAGCCTATGAGGTCAGGATGGTCTTTACATTTCAATTCTATTTCTGGTGTGGGAATTGGACCAGGACCTCTACTAGAATGCTAGTGTAAAATGCTAGGCTCATGGTCTACAATTTAGCTTTATCTCCTCAGCTTGCTTTTTTACATTTTTATAAAAAAATTTATTTTTAATTACATATATGTGTATGTATGTGTACGTGTGTGTACAGGTGGCTGCAGAGGCCAGAAGAAGGGGTCAAGTCCCCTGGAACTGTAGTTACAGGTGATTGTGAGTTACCTGATGTGGGTGCTGGAACTCAATCTTGATTCCTCTGGAAGAGCAGCAAGTGCTCTTAACTCTCCAGCCCTGAGTTTTTACGTTTTGTTTGTTTGTTTGGTCTTTTGTTGTTGTTGTTGTTGTTTGTTTTTTGTTTTTCGAGACAGGGTTTCTCTGTGTAGCTTTGCGCCTTTCCTGGAACTCGTTTTGTAGACCAGGCTGGCCTCGAACTCACAGAGATCCGCCTGTCTCTGCCTCCCAAGTGCTGGGATTAAAGGCATGCACCACCACTGCCCGGCTGAGTTTTTACATTTTTAAATGACTAAAAGAATTACAATAATAATTTTTTTTTTTTTTTTTTTTTTTTTGGTTTTTCGAGACAGGGTTTCTCTGTGTAGCTTTGCGCCTGTCCTGGAACTCACTTGGTAGCCCAGGCTGGCCTCGAACTCACAGAGATCCGCCTGGCTCTGCCTCCCAAGTGCTGGGATTAAAGGCATGCGCCACCACCGCCCGGCAATAATAATATATTTTGCGATATGTGACAATTGTATGTGTGACAGTTTCAGCTCCCATAGTTTTGCAGAAACTGTTGTGCCTACTTGTTTGTGTAACTGCTTCAGTGCTACTTTGTAGTCATGGCAGCCACCACACGTCGAAAGAGCCTAAGGGGTGTGTGTGTGTGTGTGTGTGTGTGTGTGTGTGTGTGTGTGTGTGTATGTATGTATGTATGTGTGTGTGCGTGCGCACACGCGCGGTGGGGCACAGTCTCACTATGCAGGCTGGGCTTGCTGAGAACTTGCGGCGATCCTCTCTGCCTTGGCCTCGAGAGTGCTGGGATCAGAACTGTGTGTGGTCAGGCTCGCTCAGTCAAAGCCCAGAGTATTTACTCTGGCCCTTTACAGGAGGAGCTTGCCCGCCCCAAGCCTGGCCGCCTGAGCTAGCGAGGTCTGATGCAAGCTGCCAGCTGGCCACAAGGTGTCAGTCGTCCTCCACCGGTGCTCCCTCCCACATGGCTCCTAAGGCACCTCAGCACCCAGTGCTCTCGGGGAAGGCTGGAGGCTCCTCCCCGTACAGAAGCTGTGGGGGTAGTCCAGCAGCCGCCGGCTGAGACGCTAGGCAAACACCTGGGAATTTGGAGTTTATGGGGGAAGAGTACAGGGCTGGTGTGATACAGGGTTGGCGAGCTTCTTGAGTACAGAATACTGTCTTTGGTTCAAGCTTTATTTGTATTTTGTATATTTACAGTATTCTCCAGGCAAGTTAAAACTGTCTGTTTCACCCAAAACTATTAGTCAAGAGAAGTGAGATTTTCATGAACCCAGCTGACCTCTCAGGTGGCAACAGGGTACAAATGGGTCCCTGTCCAACACTGACTCACAAACTCACCTTTCTTTCAGAATCTGGGCCTTGAAACTTTCTCTAGGTGAACTAGTACTTGGCCCAGTGTGCCAACCAAGCACCGTGAGCTTGACTCTGCCAGGGTGTGTGCACAGGAGAATGCCATACAATACTTCTGGAAGCTCCAAACCTGCACCTTCTCCTGCTAGATGCTTGACCTCAGGTGGATATCTTCCATGTGACATAGAAGAAACCCCAAATTTGAGAAGTAAGCCTGTTGGGTACCTAGCCATATAGTGGGAGAGCCAGGATTCTGCCTGGGCCAACCTATACTAACTACTTCATGCCCTCATGAAAGTCACCACAAGCAGCAAGCATTATTTTATTTATCTCTGCTTTATTTCCTTGTTTTTTTGTTTTTGTTTTGTTTTTCAAGACAGGGTCTCACTATGTAGCTCTAGCTGTCCTGGAACTCGCTCTGTAGACCAGGCTGGCCTCGAACTCACAGAGATCCACCTGCCTCTCCCTCCTGATTGCTGGGATTAAAGGTGTGCACCATCATCACCTCCTGGCTTCATCCACTCTGCTTTCAAACCTTGCCTTCTTCAGCCATGGTGTGTCGCCCCCGAGGCCTGGTACTCAGTAACTACCCACTTCACTGCAGACAAGCAGTGAGCTGCATGTCTCTACTCAGCTGCCACTGGGGAAATGGAAACCACATGACTTCTGGCATGCAATGGATTTTCCTTTAGGGCCTTGGTCACTGTGGGCATGCCTCCTGTCCTTGCCTTTTGTACTTTTCCTCCTGCAGGCTCCCACATGTTTGCCAGCTTTCATGGCAGATCCTAGCTCATCTCCTATGACATAGGCACCTGTTCCTGAAGCTGCTTTTTTTTTGGGTCTTCAGGCTGCCCTAGCTTCTAACCACTTTCCTGGATACCAACTTGTTTCTGAATGGCTGTTATGGAAAGGCAGAGAGACAATGCATGAGGGCATTATAGCTGGACTCCAGTCTTTCCCACGAAACCTACCAATCTCAAGGTCCTTCTTAGTGTCCCTTTGCAAGTACTCAGACATGTAAATGTGAATAATACACATGTGCCACCACCTACATATGGAGGTTTGAATACAACTGGGAGTCGGTTCTTTTCTTCCACCCTGAGTTCCAGGGATTGAACCTAGGTCATCATCCTTGTACAGCAAGTACTTTCACACACTGACCAATCTTGCTGGCCACAGCCACCCAATTTTCAACCATTTAACCAACAGATATTAAGACGATACTATGGTTGTGGCACCGAGCCGGACAGACGTGGCCTTTGTGCCCAGAGCCTGGCCAAGGAAGAATAGTCACCTATCATGCCAGATGGCAGAGCGTGTGATCTGGAAACAGCAACTTCCCTGTTCCACAGCTGGGCGGGCAAAAGCCTTGACCAGAGGGTGGGAAGTCTGGAGCCACCGCCATGATTGTGGGGTCTGCCCCACGATTACTCGGCCTATGAACACTTGCTCGTCTGCACCTGCCACCTCTTGCTTTTCTCTGGTGTGCATTCTTCCTATCTCGGTCAGGTTCGACCCACTGAGCCTAGGGGGCCGTTCTGAGGCAAATCTCGTGCCTTTGGAAAAGTGGTACAGATGATTCACGACAGCCACTGGGCCCCATGGGGAAGACGACATGAGTGCAGGGAAGTGCCAGGTGACAGGCTGCAGCCTCGGCAGAGGCAGGCTCATTAGCTGCAGACAGGGGCTTTGTGATGTTTACTCAGACTGTCTGCCTCACTTGAGTTGGGAGTCAGCTCTAGCTCTTTTTTTTGGGGGGGGGGGGCACTCCTGGGCACACATAGGTATGTCCCAGGGTGCTTACCAGGGCTGAGACTGAAGGAAGGGGAACAGATTGGGAGGAAATCTGACAGAGAGCTGAATGGAAGGCAGATGTGTGCACATAAACACACCTGTTCTGGGGAGAACTAGGCAGTGAAGTGTTGAACAAGGTAACTAGGATCAAGGTGGAAGATGTCGCAGAATGGAAAATCTCAGGCAAGTCAGCCAACCTCAGAGCCAACGCGCTATGCCAAAGCCACACAAGGTAAAGCTGGGTGTGGTGGTGCACACCTGTAACCCCAGCATTCAGGAGAACTGGAGCAGCTGTTGGAGGCCAGCCTGGGCCACATCCTGTGTATACAGTCCAGCTGCCCCCCACCCCCAACAGATTTGGCAGCGCTGGCCACTGGCACATTTGTGACGTGGACTTGGGGATGGTGGTGAGCCTGCATGATAGACTCTTCCTTTGAATGCTTCATGACTAAAGCATGTGGTGAGTGGCTCAGTGAGAGAAACGCAGTAGGGTAGAGAAGCGCACTCTCCCTCTAGTGCCTGTCCAGGAGGGTGAAACAGACTAGCTCTGGGAAGAGAGAAGACGGCCTCAGCAGAATTGCTTAGGAGCAGGTCTCTTTCCTGGTCTCAGGCCGCCACTCCCCACATGGTCATTTCTCTTCCCCATTGGAGTTTAGGTATCTTGAATCCCACATCTTCACGGTGATCAGAAGAGCAGAGGTGTAACAGGCCACTTCCCATGCCACCTGGGCCTCCCGACTTCCTCCAGAATAAGCACATGGCACACCGTCAGCCTTGTATCAGGAATCATTTACCAGAGTGTTTAATCCCCACAAAGGTTTGGGAAGCCACGGCGGGGCCCCTTTCCCACTCCCAGAAGCTAACCTCAGGGTGAACAGAGGGGACTCTGGACTGAGGCCATCCCTAATTTTCCCCTTATTCCCCACCAGCCAGGAGGCCAGACACAGGCACAGGCCACCATGTATCGCCCCACTTCTGCAGCCCGCAGCACCCCCTCCCTCCCTGCCTCTCACCAGCTGCCTCTGTAGATGCCTGTGTCCCTCCCAGTACTAGTAGTATCCAAGGCCTTTTCAGAAAAAAAGGGGGCAAGAGCTTGGTTCGGAGGCCTGGAAAGGCTTCTGTGTGGCCCTTTGCCCCTCTGTCATTCTGTCCACAGTTCAGTAATATCTTCTGTGTCAATGTTTACTCTCCCTCAATCAGGTCACTGTGGGGAGGTGGCAGTGGGACAGTTGTCCTGACCTAGTACTGTGGCAATTAGGCCTACCTGTTTTAGAGAAACTGAGGTGTCTAAGAACAGCCTGACATTTCCCAGGAGGCTAAGCCTAGTCTTTGGCTGAAATTTCACTGAGGAATCCCTAGTGCATGAAGAAGGCCACGCAAATGATCAGGGAGGAACCGTCGGGGAGGAAACACAAATGCTCTCGTCTCCCGGGTCCAGCCCACTCCCAGCCTTCACAGGCCCGGTAAACAAAAGCCTACTGAAAGGAGCAGGCATAGAGAAAGGCACTCTATGGGGCCCCAGTTTTCCACAGCAGCAGCCAGGGAAGCCCAGGCACTGAGGCCAGGCTTGCTGGGACACTGCAGGAGGGAAGGGGACTCTTCACCACCACTGGCAGATCCTGCCACTGGCTGGAAGGAGGCCGAAGTATCCTCATCCCCATCCCATTCCACTCAGAGACTAGCAGAAATGGGTGTCCCTAAGGCCACAATAGCCAATGTCCCCGCCGTTCCAGCTGCATCTTCCACCTGGAGTTTCAAGGCTGGAGCATGACTGGCTCCATGTCCTGTCTTCTTCCCCTTTTTCCCGCCAGCCTCTGGACAGCAGCAGAAGTCCTAGGGCAAGTCAAGCGGCTGGGCTGCCTTGGCCATCCTGTCCTGCCAAGGCAGAAAGAACGGCCCTTCCCACCGGAGGACCTGTAGGGCAGGGCGGGCCCAGTGGAGGAGAGGCTGGCATAAAGGAGAGCAGACACTAGCCAGGCGTCTACTTCATGTAAACAAGGTAACAGTACTCCTGTCGGGCCATGGCAGTCTGTGGAAACGGTGACGGCTGAGATGCTTCAGATCCTGCCATCTGGGACTCAGGCACTAAGACCCGGGATGGAGGCTGCAGGGAGGAGGCCTGGTTAGCATCTGATGTGTGAACCAGTACAGGATATAGGCCATGCTCTCCTCAGCAGAGGACAGGATGGGTGGGCATCTGCAGGTCCCACCTACCACTACCCTGCCGCTCAGGAGATCACACAGTTGCTGGACTTGGTGATCCTGTCACTCGCTTTACCTGTGGAGACAGGGCACAGACATGGAGGGCATAAGTAACAAGCTCAACCTTGAACCACAATCCCGACCTCGAACCGCCCACATAAGCAAGTTTGGAGCTCAGGACCAATGAATGCCTCTCTTCCAAACTGCTGGTCTGGAATCCAGGTCAACAGCGCACCCAGGAAAGCAAAGGGACTGTTTCAGCAGCCTCACCATGATTGGAGGATCCCCATGACTGGAGACATCAAGTGGTCTGCGTCTCCTGACCAACAACGATAGGGACTCTGGAGTCAGCCACCAATGACTTAGAGTCCTATCATTAGCGGCTAAATGTTGAAGGCAGCTTCAAGCTCTCAAAGTGAAATCAAGGGTACTCTCAGGGGCCCTGACTGGAGGGCACAGGGGCAGCAGCGATGAGAGCCAGAACCACCTGCCTTATTGCAGAGCTCAAGCAGTAGCCCTGTCCTGGAAGTGGTTGGTGACAGTGCCAGGTCCTGGCCTTCCTGTCCAGTCTCAGCTCCTTCAGCCACTCAGGGAGCTATGCCTGGGGAGGGCAGTGTGGTCACACTGCTGTGTGGCGACCCAGGCAGAGGATGGAGCAGCACAGGCCCTGGGCTGAGAAGGCTGCTTTTCTCTAGACTGTCCTCTCCTCCCCTCCAGGCCCCTCAATCTACTCCTACCTCCTTCACAATCCCAGGAAAAGGTGCCAGCTGTCCTCATGATAGAATGCTGCTCTGGACTCTGGGGGAGTGGGGGAGAACTGTGAAGTGACCTTACACCTCTGGCTGGCTCTGGAGGCACTGAACAGTTGAAGACAGAGTCCACATCCTTAGAATGCCTGCTGCCTGCTTTTCCCAGGTGGAAGCCACCGTGTTACTTCCTGCCTCTTCCCGCTTGTACAATAAAGACAGTCTCCCTTGTGCGCACACCGCCGTCCATATCACTTCAGCTGTGAATTTAATTAAGGTGACGACTGCCTCTTGTGAGTTGTAGTAGCAGGAGAGGCACTGGGCAGGGCTAGACCTGGAACTCTGGTGCTGCAGCCCCTTCGTGAGTCCCAGTGCCTGTCGAAGGCCACACTGCCCAGGCTTGCTGTCCCTGCTCTACCAGCCACTGCCTCAGTGGGGCTACAATGAACTCATTCCTCAGGACTTACTGCAGAACCGGCCTCCTGGGTGTCCCTGCTGGGTGTCCCCTGGACTCAGGCAGTTGACTGCCTACAAGGAGGTAGGACAGGAAACCAGTGGCCTTCTGTGGTGGTACTGAGGGCTGTGTCTGGTGTGGCTCTGTGAAGGTCATTAAATTCTACCACTCTGGAGCCCCTGGCTGCTGCTGTAAGAGTGAATGAAAGGCCCCCACTTCCTCTCCTCAGTGGCTTTTTCCATTTGCTTAGCCTGCAAAGTGGATGCCCAGTGCCTCCCCAGAGGCAGCAGCTCTTCAGAGGCAGGAAAGCAAAATCAACCTCTGGATCCAGAAGCAGGGCAGGAATGTGCCAAAAGTACGGGAGCATCCCAGAGGCTGTGCCCTGCCAGCTCCTTCCCAGAGAAGGCTGTCTTTAGCAGGCCCTGACCCTCCAATTTGTAGAGATGAATGCCAGCTTAGAGATATGCCTTATCCTCAGGATTCATTTCTAGGACTCTGACAGAGAAACAGGCTTGAAGGAAAATTCTTTGTGTTCCATCTTTCTTTCCATGCTCATTTACCAGAAAACTGCCAAGGGCAGATGCCTTGGACCCATTCAGAATTATGTGGAAGAATCACGCCAACCACCCAAACAATTTCTTTTTATAAAGTATGTGTGGCAGGGAAGTGAGTGACCTAAAGAAGACTTATGTGAGAGAGCCAACTGCAAAGAGGCTCAGCCCTGGAGCCTGGAAACAGGAATGAAGAGCAGTAGGAACGGGCTTACATGCATGGAGGGACTGGGAAGGTGACAGCCTGGGGCATGTGGAACAGCAGCTAGAAGCCAAGACGCTTCAAGAGGAGGGGAGGCAGGGAAAAACATGGGAAGTCACACAGGACTGTGATGACAGGAAGTCCCCTCTTCCTATAGCTTTTAGGGCTTCACATTCCTTTTATCTGGAACATTCTTTCCCTGATGTTCGTGTGTCCATCTGAGGCTCTGCTCCAGTGCTCCTTAATCAATGAGGCCTCCCTTGGGCACCCTGTAGAACAGAGTCATGATGCTCCCTGCCTTCAACCATCCCTAGGGTAATGGGTGCCACAAGAAAGGGCTTTTGTTCATTCCATTCTCTGCTTAATTTAGAACTGTGCCTCACAGAGCAAATACTTGGAAACCATATTCTCTCTCTCTCTCTTTTTTTTTTTTTTTTTTTTTTTTTTTTGGTTTTTCGAGACAGGGTTTCTCTGTGTAGCTTTGCGCCTTTCCTGGAACTCACTTGGTAGCCCAGGCTGGCCTCGAACTCACAGAGATCCACCTGGCTCTGCCTCCCGAGTGCTAGGATTAAAGGCGTGCGCTGCCACCGCCCAGCTGGAAACCATATTCTTATTGGATAAAACAAGTAAGCAGGCAATGGCTGGTTATTTGGAGTTCAGGCCAATACAAACAACACCGGTGATACATGATTACCTAGCACCATTCTGAGAGTGACCAGAGGCCCAGACAGCCTCGGAGGAACTGGGAAGACACACAAATTGTTTGGTCTTCTGGTAACAACAGCACAACTGAGTTGGAGAGATGATGACTCAGAAGCTAAGAATACTTGTTGCTCTTTCAGAGGACCCGAGTTCGGTTCCCAGTACCACATGATAGGTCAAAAACACCTGTAAATCCAGTTCCAGGGGATCTAAAGCCCTCTTTTGAACTATGCAGGCACCAGGCACACATGTAGTGCCCATCTATACATGCAGACGAAACACTCATACATATAAAATGAAATAAATCATACATATATGAACAGTACAGCTGCCTCATCTTTGGAGCCGAGTTTGGTCACAGGGCTCAGGATAATCAGATTTGACTACATAGTCCACACAGCAGCTGGGACCTGACCCATGCTCCTCAAGAGCAACACCTGAGTGATAATCCCAAGAATGGGGGCCACAGATCCACAGCTCAGGTAGTACTTCCTCACTAGTCCACCCTGATGAGGACTCAGATTTCCAGGCAAGACATCAAAGACCACCAGCCCCACAGGGCAACATAGAAGAGCCTGCAGTCCCCAAATCCAGGAGTCTTGCAGCCACAACTCTAAAACCAGAGATGGCATCACAGGCCTTCCAGTCTCCACAGAAGCAGGGAAACGGTATCAGCACTACCCTTTCAGAGGCAGCTGCAGCTGTTCGGAGGTGGCTCTGGGGGCAGAGACCATGCCGCTCTTTTCCTCCCGGCCCGTCTGTGGATATGGGGGTTGGCCCTTCTGGAGTTTGAGGATCTTGTTCGTGGGGTGTCACCATCAGGCAAACACTTGCAAAAACCATTTGAGTCCTGAACGGCAGCATTTCACTCGATGTCCCCTTTAACACTGGAAACCATTGCCTATTTTCCAATCATGGCCTGGGAGTTCAAGAGCAGCACCTGGGACCACCTCCTCTAGCCTAGTGACTTCCCCAAAGGCAGAGCTTTGCCTGAGTCTCCTGTAACTAACTGCATTGGAACTAGTCTGAAGACCCCTCTGTATTGGAGAGCTTTGTGGGAAAACCAACGCTCCTGTTCAAAATGCAGACATCTACATTCAGTGCTCCAGGACCTGTGAATGTGTCTGTTACCATATGGTGTAGAAAGCAAACAGGGAAAGGTAGCTCTGCTTCCACCGACTCACGGAAGCCATCATAGTCGAACCTAACAGGAGTGAGTGTGTTCATGTGTTGGTGATCCTGAGAACCACTATTTTGTTACATGAATTCCTTTGATACTGGCATTCCTATGTTATGCTTCTGATTTAACTTAGTGTTTAATTTTAAATTCTTGGCAGTGGGGATTGGTTAAAAGATGAAATGGATCTTCATGGCAACAGCTGTGATAAAAGCTTTGGTTTCCAAAGCTGTTTTTTTCCTGTCAGCACCACTAGCATTCCACATTCTGCTGAACATCATCAATTCCTTAGTCTTTACCAATATGGTGAATGCCATCCAGAGAATGATACATTTAGTTGACTAAATCCTGTTTCATAGTGGTTTTAAAAAAATGCAGATTTCTGAGCCCAGCCCAGCAGTGCAGACTCTATTCACGGGATTTTAAACAAGGATATCCGTAGCTGTGCTCTCCTGAGAATGGGAACTCTCTGCTCTCAGAGAGCCTGCACAGAGATCCTGTAAGGGTGCAGGTGGCAAGGGGCCAGGAGGCCAGAAGCTGATAACCCAGTGAGGACACAGTTTAGTTAAGAGAAAAAGCAAACGGCAAAGGACACACAGCTTCAGCCACTAGAGGGGGCTCTGGCTCTTCAAACTTCCAGGCTGATTCCATTGTGGGTTTCTTACCCCCCAACCCCCGCCACCCCACCCCCCTAGCCCCAAAGGAGGCGATTCTGTAAGATTCTCCCCAGGGCCACACCTGGGTTTGCAAAAATTTGCATGCTGTTTGACAACTATATACTTCTTATCAAGCAGTTTTACAGGCTGTCAGCTCTTGGCTTTTCCTATCTTTCCCTCTCACCCACCTTGTCATCCACCCACGTTCTCTCTGACAAGAGGGTACCGAGACAGATAGGACAGTCAGCATCAACTCAAAGGGACCTCAGAAGCCCTCCCCAGTTTACCCCTCCTCCTCCAGAAGAGGAGACAGCCCTGGAGAAGGGAGGGCAGTGCGTCAAGAGCTGAGATCATTCCACCATTGTCTGTTGCAGCTTGAATGCTCCCCGTGGGAAGGGGATTCCTTCCCTGGATGGGTTCCTTCTCTGAGGAAGAAGCTGAAGTGGTTCCAATCCAACTCAAGCTCCCGCCCGTCCCAGGATGGGGGCCCATGCTGCCTTGTTAGGTGTGTGGTCAGCTGCTCAGCGGCTGCCACCTTGAGGGAAGGCACCCGAGGTCCCTGAGCCTAGAGCTTGGGGAGATGTAGGTATAGGAAGGGCTTTTGGGAGGAGAAATTCAGCTTCTCAGCTCCGCCTTTGAGCAAGAAATAAGCAGGTGCCAGAGGTCTCAGTAAACAGCTAGGATTTCAGAGCCTTGGGGGGGTGGCAGGGTGTGTGTGTGTGTGTGTGTGTGTGTGTGTGTGTGTGTGTGTGTGTGTTGCTACCTCTATGTTCTTCCCCAGGCTTGGGGGGTGGGGAACGACACACTTTAGACTTTCCTATGTGTGTTAGCCAGTCTTACCCCAGTCCTTCTTCTGCTCAGGGGGCTGGGTGCTCTGGAGCTCCCAAAGGCACAATGGGGTCTGCTTGCTGTTTCCAGGGTACCGTGTACAGATGCTCAGAGACAGGCAGCAGCGGCAAACACTAACTGCCCAAGTCATCTGGGGGGGGGGGGGATATCTGACACCAGAGGCAGCAGGAAAGGACAAGACAATGGGCTTTGCGTTTCTATGGAAACAGCACCTAAGGGTGAGGGGCAGGAGAAGAGAAAGCTTCCACTTCTCACTTCCAGACAGGAGTTGGGAAACAACCCCTTTGTGGTTGGGCTCGCCCCTCCTCTTCCTTGCCAGGTGTTCACCATGGCAACCCTCCTTCCAAACAAGAGGCACAGAGCACATCAGCATCTGGTGTCGGGGAGCCAGGGAAGCCCAAGGGGAATGGGACTGGGAGTGGGGGACCAGCCACTCCTCTCTTGACAGGTCAAGGCCCAGGCCTGGCTTTGACTCGGGTTTACAGTCATTTTCCATGGCCTGCATTTACTGCACTTCTCCCAATTTCTACCTGCATTGGGACTCATGGGCTCTTCATGAGGGTGAAGGGAAAGAAAGTACCCCATGTGGAACCTGGCCTGCCGAGCTGCTCAAGCAGTGTGGGCCCACTGGAGGCAGCGGGGGCTGGAGGGTGGTCCTGGTGCTCATACCGTGCCCCATTGCAGAGACTCCCAGACCTGTTCTGAGAGGGAGCTCTATCCCTGGGTTCAACGGGACATGAAGTGCTTCTAATCAGGAGAAAGTGGCATTTTTCCCTGCTCTAGACCATTGACTGGGTCAAAGCCAGGTCTATGGGATACCTGAGCCCTTGGGCTGCTCAGGACAGGTACTTCACAATCAGTTTTCACATAGCGAGTCGGCCAGGAAGCTCAGTTACCATCACCTCAAAGTCCTGCAACCACAGAAGGAAAAATCCCAGCACAGAAGTTCTTCCAGCTCAGGGCAGCTGAGAAGAGAAAGGCTCTGTGGTAGCCTGTTGGTCACTACCAGACTCCTGGAAGGTCATATCGAGACTGCTCTGGAGGAGAAAAAAAGACAGGGCTTCAAGGAGCTCTCAGAGAGACGGTTAGAAAAGATCCACTGCTCCGCATCACCAATCTTTCCCAGAGGGCAAATTCGCTTTTCACACAGACTGGGGAAAACGGTTCTAACTATTATCACGGAAACTAGGAAGCTGGTCAGCGCATCAGTGGGACGGGGTATGTCTGACTAGATCAGACCCCAATGACAGCAAGCAGCAGGAAGCCAGGAGGAGCCCTAGACTCACGGCCAGTGCTGCGTACTGTTTCTTCAGGTATAAAAGGAAAACTTGTCACATTTCCTTCTTTTACTGGGGTTACTATAAAGGTGATCTGAATACCATGAGGAGTAAAACAGTCCTCACAGACCATCCCATGTCCACTGCTGTGCTAAACACCAAGCAAGGCATGTAGCGCTCTTCCCTCAGAGACAAGGAATCTGAAACTGCAGTGAGGACCTGCAGTGACTTGCCCAGGGTCACCAGCTTCAATGGCGGGCACTCACCTGATATGTTGGCACTGGAACCCTCATTGGGCCTCTTCCCCAGAGGAAACTCCATGTCAGCAAAAGTCTCAGTGGAGGTGGAGTTGACCAGCACCGCAGGCCTCTTCACTCGTCGGCTGAAGAGCCTGCTGCTCAAGCGTCTGCCCTCCTTGGCTGGGGTGGCCTCTCCATTTGCAACTTCTCCCTTGCCATTCTGGGGGAGCGCCTCTCGGGATTTGTGCCTCAGGTCTATGTGCATCTGAGAGACCGTCCTGCCATCCTTTGGTCTCAGCAATCTCGAGGGAATGGGCTCCACTGTGGGCAATATCTGTTCTACTGTAACCAGATCATTCAGAAAGCTCTCCAGACGCCGGGCAGACTCACCACCGCCACTGCCCTCCTGTCCCTCCGCGTTGCCATCAGCCTCCCGCTGCTGACGGGCCGCCCAGCGCATCAGCTCTCCTGGAGGAGCGCGGCTGTTTGCCACTAAGGCATACTTGGGGTTGATAAGTTTGCGAGCTACAGTGGAGGAGTAGTTGAGGCCAAGCCTGCCTGCCAGACCCAGGTGCTGGTACAAGTTCACTTCCTCAGAGATGGCATACAGCTCCCGGAACTCTACGTCAAAGGGCTCCACGTTCTGCCCTGTCAGGAGCAAAAGAAGATTCCTGTCCACATAGGAGGAGCTCCAGGTGAAGCTGGGGACAGAAAGCAGAGACATGGATGGGCCCAGACCTCTCCAGTATCCTACCAGTAGCTCCTTTAACACCCTTCAACCTGCTTCAGCCTGCCCTCACACTGGATTGCTCTCCTTTCACCAGGCCAAATTCTCCCCGCCCTCTTCCTTCCCACGGGGCTTGAGAAGTCAAACCTGGATCCACATCTACCCTTCCTGTGTGCCTTGTACAACGTGGCTACAGGGCCTAAGGTAGAAAACGCCATAGGGAGATGGCAGGGTCTTAACTCAAGGCTTTGAGGCTCAAATGAAGTAACCAGCTCACTTCCTGGTACAAACGCGTGGAATATGTAGGAACTAAGTCGTGCCATTGCTAGCATTGTCCCACCCCTACTGATCCTTCCCAGAGTGCACAGGGTCTGCACAGACCCATACTTCAACTGTGGAAGAAGACTCAGATCATTTACTCATTGTTACATGTGCTCAGGTCTCACTTAGATTTTCACTTTCTCAGAGGAAAGAGATGGCTCACATACAGGTTCTCACAGACCTGGGACTCTGCTTTCAATTCAAATTCTGGAGTAATCTCTCTGTGCCACATCTGTGGTAGTCTGAATGAGAATGGCCCCCACAGGCTCACATATTTGAATGCTTGGTCCCCAGTTGATAGAACTGTTTGTAAGGATTAGCAGTGTGGTCTTGTTTCAGGGGGGTGTCACTGGGGGTGGGCTTTGAGGTCTCCAAAACCCATGTCATTCCCAGGTGCTCTCTTTGCCTTGGGCTTATGGATAAGATGTGAGCTCTCAGCTACTGCTCCAGCACCATGCTTACCTGCCTGCTGCCATGCTCCCTACCCTCTGGAACCATGAGCCCCAAACGAAATGCTTTCTTTTATAAGTTGCCTTGGCCATGGTGTTTTGTCACAGGAATAGAAATTAGACATCTCACATTGCTTCCCCAAATCTTATCCCTTTTATTTCCTGCTTATCCCACCCAAAAACCAGCCTCAAAATACAGCCGGCTGCTGAGGACCATGACAAGTAGGTAATGCTTAATGTCTAGGAAGAGTTGCTCTTCTCTCTGGAATAATCAATCTGTCAACAGAAAGTCTGAAGAAAGGAACTGGGCAGGAGGCTGTTTCTGACCAGGACAGACAATGCCTCTTAAAACCATGACTGTTGGGGCTGGAGAGATGGCTTAGTGGTTAAGAGCACTGGCTGCTCTTTCAGAGGTCCTGAGTTCAATTCCCAGTAACCACATGGTGGCTCACAACCATCTATACTAGGATCTGATGCCCTCTTCTGGCACACAGGCATAAATGTAGACAGAGAGCTCATACCTAAAAAAATACATAAAAGAGAAAAAAAAAGACACAAAAAAAAACCCCCAAAACAAACAACAACAATCATGACTGTGGAAGCTCCAGGCTAGCACATCCCCGAACAATTACCATGAATACAGGTCTCCCAGGTCCTCCCTGTCCTGGTCCAACACACCTGTAAGATCCAGTTGCTACTTTGTCCCCATCCACCATTAGGAACCTTGATGAGAGAGTCCCCTTGATCTTCCCCATGGGCATGTAGAAGCCAACCCCTGTCACAGAGCGGACACGGATGTTCTGTAGAGAAGAGAAAGACACAATTGCCCTGTATGGGGAGGCCTCGAGGCTTTGCACCAAGGTCTTGCTTTGGGAGAGGTCCCCAGACCCTGACTGCTGCCCAAGTCTTTCCAAAATTCTCTGCTTCCTTCGGTCTCGTATGTTTTACTTTCAACAAGCTCAGGAGAGTTCTTGCTCCAAGTTCCCAACCAGAGAACTACAGCCCTGTGCTGAACCCGACAGTGAAGCCAGTGGTTCTACAGACGGACCACCCCCGGGCTGAGTGAGAGCTGCCTCCTTCAGCCTTGGCAGCTCTAGGGCAACAGAAAGTATTAAGGATAGATAAGTAAGCAGTTACAAGTTCCTGAGTCATGACTTTATATAGAAGGAAAAATATTGGGATCTTGAACTTCAATCTGAGCCCCTGAACTTGGGAGGAGAAAGGGGGAGGAGCCAGAGGAAAGGACAGAAGGCGTTTCCCATCTCATTCTGGCCCACAACCTGTCCCCGTGGTGCAACTCACCCGAATGCGGAAGTCAGCAAGCTCCAGGTCCTGACACATTTCCAGAAAGTACTTCACTCCTGCTTCATCCAGGATGATGTACACAGGGACCCGGCGCTTAGAGGCCGCATCTACAATGTCTTGGAATATATCCCCGTCAGTGAAAACGTCCATGACAACAGCAATGACCTGGACAGAGAAGGTGCTGCTGAGACATGTTGTGACTGGTACATGTTTTGAGACACACCTGCCCAGAGAGGACCACCTTGCCTTGGGGCAACTGATGGCCGAGAGTCAAAAACCCTACCTGCCACCACTCCTGGATTCCCCAGGCACCCACAATTTAGAGCACACTGAATTCAGGTGAAGGGCCCAAGGGTGCAGACTCTGCTGCTGGTACTTCATCCTGGATAAATCCCAGCGTACTCTGGAAATTTCCAGAACTCTTCAGACGCCATTTCAGGAGAGGGCTGGGAGCCTGGAGAGAGCTGTCCCTGCTGCCCCATGGAAAGAGCTGCTGTGAGGAGATGTTATGGCAAAGGAGGGAGGGGTTCACCTCCATCAGCCACGATCTGCATGGCCATCACTTTCTCGGCAGGTCTGGGCACTCTATCTCCCTGCAGCTATGCAGAGTCCCAGTGCTGATGCTGATAGAGCTAGAGTTGGCCAGGTGCCCCTGACCTCTGATGCTCAGCTTTCCCCCCTACCCCATCATTAAATTAAGAACAGTGGGAAGACCCAGTTTTTTTTTTAAAGATTTATTTATTTATTTTATGTATGAGTGCTCTATCTGCTTGTACAACTTTATACCAGAAGAGGACATCAGATCCCACTATAGATGGCTGTGAGCCACCATGTGGTTGCTGGGGATTGAACTCAGGACTTCTAGAAGAAAAGCTGCTGAGCCATCTCTCCAGTCCCCCAGTTTTCCTTTTTTTAAACATTTATTCTTCTCTCATATATTACATCCAGATCATAGTTTTCCCTCCTCCTAGTCCCTTCCCCCTCTCCCATTTCCTTAAAAAAAAAAAAAAAAAAAAAAAAAAAAAAGAGTACAGGGATATCCATCAAACAACATGGCCTAACAAGATACAAGATTGGGCACAGGCCCTCATATCAAGGCTGGACAAGGCAACTCAATAGAAGGAAAAGGGTCCCGAGTGCAGGTAAAAGCGTTAGAGACACCCCTTCTCCCACTGTTGGGAGTTTCACAAGAACACCAAGCTAAACAACCATAAGGTATACGCAGAGGACCTAGCTCAGATGCATACAGGGTCTGTGTTTGTTGATTCTGTTTGTCGGTCTCTGTGCTTGTCATCTCTGTGAGCCCCCATGAGCCCTGCTTAGTTGATTCTGTGGGTCATGTTCTCCTGGTGTCCTTGGCCTCTTGATCTTACTGTCTTTCCTCCTTATCTTCTGTGGGGTTCCCCTGACTCCACCTAGTGCTCAGCTGTGAAGATTCAGTTTTCTAACTTGAGTCACTTCTATTTTCCTGCACAAACCATCCCCTGTCCCGTCTTGAAGGGTTTTCTTGTGGGCCCCAAAGATTGTAGACCCACCACTTTCTACTTATGTGACCTTAGGCAAGATACTTGACCTCAGTGAGCCTGCTTCCTCATCTGCAGAGTGGAGATGCCCTGCACTTTATACATTTGCTGTGAGGATTAGAGCTAAGGCATGTAAGGTCCCGTACACACGCAGTAAGTGAGTCCTCAATCAACAGTAGTTGAAAACACAGACTCTTTATCCAGATCAACTCCAGCACCCTGGACTTCCTGGCAGGAAAATGGAGCTAATAATGGTGCCTGTCTCATTGTGCTGAGGACTCAATGACACACATTAACACTTAAAGCAATGTTGGGCAGTGAGTGGTAAGTTCAATAAACTTCTATCACCTACAACACCATCACTGTCACCATCTTCACACCACACTTTACCGTAATTCCAGCCTCTGAGCTCTCCCTATTCCCTTACTTCCTACAGTATCACTTACTGCTCTCTCTAGCTCTTTCTTCCTTTTTTCTTTTTCTTTCGAGACAGGGTTTCTTTGTGTAACCTTGGCTATCCTGGAACTCACTCTATAGACCAGGCTGGTCTCAAACTCACAGAGATCCATCTGCTCCTGCCTCCTCATCCTCCTAAGTGCGGGGAATAAAGGCATATGCTGCATTAAAGTTGTGAGCCACCACCACCCAGCTTTCTAGCTCTTCCATTTGCTAACCATTAACATCCACATGATGATTACTGGGCCCCCATGGGCACAGTGAGGATCTAAAGACAGATAAGTTACAATTGCCACAAGGATGATAAGCCACTTACACAAAATAACTAAGGCATAAGGTGAAAGAGATAAATGTCTTAAGAGTTACACAAGTGACATGTGACAGGCATGGAGAGATAGGCAAGTACTGCTTTTAGCCAGGGAAGGGAAGAATAAAACAAGCCTTACAATGAACAGGGTGTCCTTGAGTGCTGTGAGAAAGGACTAGAGAAAAGAAAGGATCAGGGTGAGAACTGAGTACTGCGTGTGTACGGCACCTTACATGCCTTAGCTCTAATCCTCACAGCAAATGTATAAAGTGCAGGGCATCTCCACTCTGCAGATGAGGAAGCAGGCTCACTGAGGTCAAGTATCTTGCCTAAGGTCACATAAGTAGAAAGTGGTGGGTCTATCGTCTTTGGGGCCCACAAGAAAAACCCTTCAAGATGGGACAGGGGATGGTTTGTGCAGGAAAATGGAAGTGACTCAAGTTAGAAAACTGGGTCTTGGTTGGGCTGCTCTGTGTGACTGTGCCCTGGCCAGGAGCACTGGGCTGAGACAGGGGAATGTGCCTTCCTTGCTTTGAGAGACCTACAAAGTGAACATTTCTAACAAAAGGCACAGCTCCAGCAAAGACACTTTGAAGCACCGTGGTTCTTAACTTCACATTAACTTGGCTGGGCCAGTGTCCAGATATTTAGTGAAATACCATTCTGGATGTTTCTGTGAAGGTATATTTTAGACTTCAAATAAAGCAGACTCCCCTCTATTTGTGTGTGGGCCTTCTCCAATCAGTTGAAGGCCTTCGTAGACAAAGACTGACTTCTCCTGAACAAGAAGAAATTCTGCAAGCCACATGCCTTTGAACTTGGACTACACCTCTCCCTTAGGTCTCTAGCCTGCTGGTTTACCCTGAGGTTTTAGACTTTCATCTAAAAAGTAATCTCTCTAGCCAGGTGTGGTGGTACATACCTGTAATCCTAGCATTTGCAAGGTGGAGGCAAGAAAAGCAGGAGTTCATGGCCATCTTTGTATGTACAGAAAGTTCATGACAACCTGGCATCAACATCGTCATCAACATCATCATCCAACAATACCACCACCAAAAGCCAAGAAAATCAACTTTTTCTTCCTTTCTGTCCCATCGCTGCTTACACACACACACACACACACACACACACACACACACACACACACACACACACACAGAGTTGATTCTGACTAGTGCAGGCTGAGAATGGGAATGAACATGCACTAAATAGTCCCCAAGTGCTCATGCACTTTGGGTAACTCTTCTAATCTGATTCTTCACAATCGCTCTACTGGGAAGGACTGTGATTCCCATTTCACAATTGAGGAAGTAAATACACAGGGGCCAAGTAATGTGTCCAAGGTCACTCAGCTGGTACACAGCAAAACAAGAAACAGGTACACCTGACCCAAGAGCACATTTCACTGCTGCATGATATTTCAGAAACATCAAGTCAAAACCCCATTCTTGGAAAGGACTAAAATCATACAAGTTTCTAGAGAGACCGACAGAAAGAGGAGCTACAAACACAATGCAGACTGGCAAGGAGAATTAATTACAGATGCAGTAGAGATGTAAGGAATAGTAAAATATGAGCTCGGTGTGGTAGTGGAACTTACTAGAGTAAGTGTGGTTCAAGTGTGTATGAGAGAGCAGAAGTACACCTGGCCAAGCACCCATGAACCGCTTAGATCTCGGCACAGGTCTATAAGAGGGAAAGAGAACTCACTGCAGCTTCCCTTGGAAAAACAAAGAATTGCCAACAATTTCAGTATCCTTCTCTGGAAGACAAGGTGAAGAAATGGGCATAGGAGAGGATGTGCCATAGCTGATGGAAGCAATGAATGAGTTGCACGCTCAGTTCTTAGATCTTTTCTAAGACTTATTTGTAGATATGTAGATCTAAATGTGTTTCACAGACATATAAGTAATGAGGAGGCCAGAGAGGGCACAGGATCTCCTCAGGTGGTTGTGAATTGCTTGATGTGGGTGCTGGGAACAAGACCCAGGTCCTTTGCAAGAGCAGTAAGTGCTCTTACCTGCTGAACTGTTCTTTCAGATGAGTGGTGGCTCGATTTTGTAACCCCACCATTAGGATGTACAGAAGGAGGATCAGGAGTTCAAGGTCATCCTTACTACAAAGCAAGTTCCAGGCCAGCCTAGCCTACAAGAGGTTCGTTCTCTCGTTCTCTCTCTCTCCATATATATATATATATATATATATATATATATATATATATATATATATATATATATATGTTGTAGTGAACTCTATAGCCTAATACACTGAGCACAGGAGAAAGGAATGGGAAAGATGAGAAAGAGAAAATGAGGGAGGTCCTTTGGTGGACTGATGACAGCAGGGGACTGTGAACTGTGGACTACGTCAGCTCTCTTGTACTTGAGGCCAACCAGTCAAACAAAACCCATGCTCAAGTCCTCCAGTGAGGCTGACACAGCCCACTGTAGGTATGGGAAGGGGACAGTGGCCTTTGGAGAGGAGGTACGTGGTAGCATGATCCTACAGAGAACACTCTTCATTCCAGGGTGTTCACACCAAACAAGCTCATGACCTGAGTTTGATCCCCAGAACCTGTGTAAAGGTTGACAGAACATTTGACCTCCACATCCATGCCATAACTAACCACCTTCTCATCCCAGCCCTGCCTGAGACCACAGTCCACTGCCCTCTCTAGTTTCTAGACTCTCCCCAGTGTCCAGCTCAGAGTCATCGCACATCACCTAGGACTGCCTGGCCAGTTTCCGGCTGACTTCTTGGATCCCCACTTTGACTTTTTCTGTAACTGGAAAAGCAAGCAGGAAAGCTGACTTGCCCTGGCCCCCACCTAAGTATGAGAGAGGCAGAAAGTTTCCAGGACTAGCTTGCAGGAGGCTGGG